TGGTGGGGGTGGTGTGGTTGGGGGGGCCCGGGCATGCATTGGCAGCCAAAAACCGAAAAACCTTGCGGGATATCACTGGGCGCTGCCCACGGGGGTCGGCGGATATATATATATATATATGTATATATACATATATGTGTAGCCTCTGAGTTATTTCATCGCCCTTGTGCCTCCTCCCTTCTTCACTGTCAGTTCTTTCAATCGTTTTCGCATCTATGCACTAGTCACTACAGAGTCCCAGCAGTGCCCTTGTTAATTGCTCCCGGCTCCCCCACTACCTCGCGCGACTTCGTCCACTGTGAGGTCGGATTGACTCTTGCCCCCCCGCCTACGCCCCGAGGCACCTGTTGGGGGCATTCGCAGCGAGACGGCCCAGCACCCAGCATTGCCTTGTGTCTGAGGGACTCTGCTTAGTACAGGCGCGAACCTGTGTGGCACAAGTCTTCGGCACGTCTGAGGCAATGTGTTTCTAGAGTACGCTTCCCTATAAGCAGCCCCACATGTACCTCGGCAGCCAGGAAATTGAGATCCCGGTCACCATCAGCACACGAGCCATGACCTCAAGTGTGTCTTGACACGTTTGGCTATTGACCATGCATTCCACCTCGTACCGTACTGACCTCGCAGACTTGCCGAAGCCGCTTCAGTGACACATCAAGCAGAGCAGCCGGCATACATACTTCAACAGGTGCAAAAGACATCCTGCAATCAGAGTTTGCTCCAGCCCTTGTGCGACAGTCTTTTCATTTGTAGTGGTGAAGTTTTCCGAACCCAACAGGAGCTTTCCACTGAACTCAAAGAGAACTGCAGGTACTTCCTGAGAGCAGACAAGCCTCGACGTCGATGTGACGGCTGCGCAACAGCCAACACTAAGCAGACACAACGTGACACAGTGAGAGAACGCTTGAACCAACGTAGGGCATGTGTCAACAAAGAGTTTGGAAGATTCTGATCCCACAACCTCATATAAATCTTGAGAGTACTTTGCAGGCCAGTGTTTCGGCGGGTGCTTGTCCGTGTCGTACCACTGCCGGCTACAAGAAGCTTGCAGGTATGTTCTGGTCTGAAAGTGTCCCAGATTTGCTCGAGCTTGTACACGCTCGAACTGTTCCGGACGGGGCAGCTCCTAGTTTTCCTGGCCGATTAACGCTCACAGAGCAAGAATCGAGGCGATCATGTTGGCAACACAGCTCATCATGTGATCGCGAAAGTGGGTTCTTTAGCCCAGTCGTGCACGCACGAGAATGTCAGGGCATCTGAAATCTGGCCTTTAATCTTCGTACAGACTTTCCTGGTGAAATTTCGATATGTGTTTCGCTTATGTTGAATTGCACCTGCTGGGGTCCCTACGTCGCACTACTAAATTGAAGCATGGCTCTGTGTGTGTGTGTGTTGGAAAATTTGCCTTCTTTCTTGCTTACAGTCTTTCGGCACATGGCAAGCTGCATACGCTTGGCTCGATGCGAAACATGTCGTGATGCGAGCTCCTAGGTGTTTCGACGCCTTTCTTGATGGGTTTTCAGTTTTACGGGGGCTTCAGTGTACCTGGCAGCAGACATCACGATGTGTCAAGAAAGCTAGCTGTATGCCGACAACAATACGGATGCCGTCTGTGCATTGATTTACTGGCTGTATGACGGAAGCTTGGACATGTGATGCTTGGCTGGACTGAGACTCTCGTGATCAAGGAGCTGATCTCACAAAAGCCTTTAGCCCAGCGAGTGCGTCAGAGCATTCCGGTGAGAGTCTGGTTTGGGCTCTGCCGAGGACAGGCGTCCATGTGGACGACCTTAAGATAATGGCCAAAGCTGGGTCCTTCATGAGGATGCTCAAGAACTCGGATGAGGCGGGTAAGACGCCATGAAGCCATGAACCTAAGATAACCTAAGCAGAAGGAACATGTCCAGCGTCCAAACCTCGAATAAACCCAACACTGCACAGGTGCGCTCCCGAGTTTTTGTCAAAGGCACAGAGCGAGTGCGGCTCGGGTGTTTCCAGGGTGAGCCTAAAATACTCAGCAGGTGTTGAGAGTTTTTCGAGGAAGAAGCAGTCGCTCCGCACTCAGCACAGACTGTCGGTGTAGCTAGAATCAGCAATGTGCAACAAGATGCAACAAGCGAATGTGGCCACTGCCAGCAAGCTCGCCGCATGCAAGAGTTGGGTGGTGTACGAAACTGCAGGCTGTTTCACTGAACCACTCAGAATCGGGAACAACACGGATCATGGACCCTTCATACTTGCAGCCGTGGCATCCGGAGGGTCCCGGATAGAAGGTATCAGCATCCTCATGGAATTATCGGAGCTGGTCACAACGGCCTGCGCCAGGCCTAGTTGCTGCCAAGTATGCTGCGTTCCCGGTTGTGCCATATGCGGGTTCTTTGCCAGGCGCTTGTCTTTGCCGAGCACAAAGACACCAACTTCGTTCTTTTCGATCGTCACAACAGGCAGCCTCTCAGTCACCCGAATGTGGTGTTCCAGAGTGCATGTTTCCAGCCACCTTGAAGCAAAACAGGGAGTCGGCGGGGCCGGATACACCAGGGATGTGGATACACATCGGGACGTGCATTGTTCAGGAATGAGGAGCAAAGGAACAGGACCCTAGCTTGACTAGTTGGAGCTCATCAAGGGAGGGACTGGTAAGGTTTCGTAAACGTACCGACACTGCCAGAGCAAGAGACAAGGCTAATTATTTTTCCGTTCCGATGAAAACTGCTAGCGTACGAATCACTTGGCCTATTCTGGACAACATCGATCGAGATTTGCGGCGGGGGCCGTCCTACTAGCCGTGCATTGTGTGGCGGCTTCCCAGTCCAAGCAGCACTGCCAGCATCTGGATCGCTGTCCGAATCGTGGCGATAGTTGGGTCCGGCACGTCCGTTGCCTTCGCATGGATAGCCTGGTCTGGAATTTGCGGTTTTGCACATGTGATGCCTGACGCGCTGACACTATCTAACACTCTATAATCTGGAATCAGGCAGCTCATTGGTTGGGCTGCGGTAGCTGACTCTCGAAGCACCACAAGACAGTACCGGAACCTATCGAGCCTTGGAACCCAACCTAAAAAACAATGAGTTGCAGGACTGACCGCGTGGCAGCCGGCGTCCCTACCCATTGTATATATGAACTTGGCGCCAAACTGGTGCGTAGGATTGTTTATCAAGCGATTCAACACACCCTGCACTTTGCAGGATTGGTGGCACTTCCTGGCTCGACCACGCGAACAAATTCTCCAAGGACTCAGCTACTGTAGCAATGCAGTCACACAGCAGTGTCAGAAACGATCCACAGAAGGCTCAAGTGGTTTGTCCAGAATAACACCTTGTTTTTCGTCTACGCAGGTTCAGACCGAGCTTGGAACTTATCACTTGAACTACTCCGACCAATGTGAGTGTCCCAAGGCAGGCATGGCGATCTGACCACATGCCCACTGAACTGTTTCGTGCATTCTCAGTGATTGCATTGCAAGGGCATGTCCCCTTGGCCGAGCAGGTTTTTCGCTCAGTGACCGATAAGCCGCAACACATCAAATCGGCAAGAAGTTTGACCGGCTTGCTCAGGGACGAGCTCTTGAAGCACTTCGAGGAGGCTCTCTGCAACGAGGGCACCCTAGACTCTAGATTCTAGATGCTCGCAGGAGTATTTGTTTCTTGGTTTGCATGGGAAGCCGTCGCACGCGCAGATCACGCGGTCAGCAGCAGAGGCTCAGGACATCCGCGGCACGAAGCTCCGTACGGGGGGTGGATACTCTCCAAATTCCGTCGGCAACTGACTAAGTGTTGACATCCTGCGCCTTGTGTGCTTCTCACTGCTTGTCTTCACCGACTTGGTCAAACGCGCCACTGCCAAGCAAGCACGCACCCTATTTGGGCCATCACATTTGGGATCATTTGGGGGCACTCTGCAGCCGAGCCGCTTTACGTGCATCAGCGTGATGGACGGGCTTGCACGTACGCGCAGGTCGGGGGGACCTCCCCTCAGCTCATGCCCCAGAGCAAGCAAAGAGCGAGATAGCTTTCGCACCCGTTCCACATGCCTTACAAACAGCAAACAGTGGGGGGCCCCTGTGGCCGGGGCGCTTGACTCGCGCCCTAAACCCTGTGGAAGAAGGGAGAGAAAGCGAGAGAGCTCACTTGCCTCAATCGTCGCGTGAGTCTCGCACTTTTGAAGCTGCAATGGCTGCACCTCCCAACTCTGCGGAAGCAGCAATTCGCGCACGTTGGGTTTGTGCAGCTTCAGGGCTTTTGGAACTTTGGAGAGGAAGTCCCGGAACTCATCCCACCACAGAGGTGTCTTCGACTCGACATCACTGCCCCTCGTGCAGGTGTGTGATGCATGGGGCCTCAGGGCACACTTCAGACTCGGCACGGATGTGTTAAGGCAGGCCCTGGACTGACAACAGTCATTGGTATGCTTCGTGTCTCAGCTTCATCACCTGATGGTTTCAGGTACGCGGTAGCGAACGATGGGAATGATCAAACGTACAGGCTCTCACTGCGGCGAGACAAGGAGGCGCAGCGCATGGCGAGATGTCTTTTGCCACGGTGCCGAAGAGTAGAGCTCTGCTCCGACCACTGTAGATAGGAGTCCGAAGTGATGGCCTGCTCCCCAGAGCAAGACTGAAGGTTCATCCTAGCAAAGGATGTTCGAAGTGCCCTGTAGGTGTCCAGCTTCGTGATCTATCCCGGCAACCTAACAAACCCCCGAAGGGAGGTCTGGGCCCTGCGCCTCCGTTGCTAAAGCCACATGACGAGACAGGGCTTTGTGTTCCAGAGACCTGGAACGGGGAGCCAGGACTACAAAGGGGAGGACGTCTTTGGAGTCCTGGCCTCAGTCTAGATGCCTCTCGAAGCGGAAACGGCGGAAAGTGTTTATCTCCAGGGTCCGATCTCCTACGGCATGTTCGACGAGACGGACTATGATGCCCTCACCGGCAAGCGCGCCACTACCTCGTGATGTCTCCTGGTTTCAAGATCTTTCAAGCAAAAGAAGACCGGCTTCCCTTTTGTTCCCAGGTCGCCATCGTGGGCTTTGGTGCTTTTGCTGTAGAGAACATTCGCACCTGCGTGGAGCTTAACTAGAATACTTTGCAAACGAAGACAAGCTTTCTGCGAAACCCGTGCAGTTCTCGTTTGTATAGGTTGCGAGCACCGCGTTGACAAGATATTTCTGGTCTGTCGGAGGTGGCCAAAATATTGATCTCGCATGGCTCTATGGTTTTTAGGGCTTGGCACTTGGAGGAAAAACCTCTGCATGCCGCGAATGGTTTCGTCTGAAGCTCGGAAGGTTCTTTGCAACTCTGCGACACTCTACAACTCAGCCTCAGGTGGTGGATCAACGGATCCGCTTTTCCCGTGTCTTCAGCAGACGTCCTTCGCGAAATGGAGGTCGGCATGATTCCATTAACACCATTCCCAAGCTTCTTCAGAGGCTGTGCACAAGCTAGAGTTAGTGCGAGGTGAAACATAGCTTCCTACAGCCAAGGTGCTGGATGTGAAGTCACGAATCCGTCCACAAACTTGAGTATTCAGGAAAGCGCACTGTACGGGACAGAGCCAATTCAGTGGTCAGTCGAGACACCCCACAGCAGATCAAGATCAAGGGCGCAATTAGCCTTGGCTTCAGCGACTGCCCGAGGGGTTCCCAGGCCCGCCTGAGGCCGTGTGAGGCTGTTCAGCACAGTCCGTGTACAAAGGTTCCAGTACAAGGCGTTTGTGGCATGTGTTCGTTTGAGTAATCTGGTCTGAGATCTGGCCGTATTGATGCCGACATGCAGCTGGTATCCCGAGGGCTGGAAGTTCGCACGATCAATGTCTTGGTCAAGAGGCATTCTCTATGCCGCTATGCCTGTCACATGCAGGTCTTGTCCTCATGGAAGCTTCGAAGTCCGCCACTCCACCCTAAATTCAAAGCAGTCAGCAAATTCATCACATTGGCAGGAACCAGGAAAAGCAAAAAGTGTATTTGATTCGGGCGGGTGCACGCAAGCCGTGATTATGCATGTCGATGTATGATGTATAGGTTTCAAGCAGATTCTAGCTCATATCCACGTCCTCGCAACTCTCCAGCTCTTTTTTGCGAGTGGGTCTAAGCTGCACGCTCCAGGATGCGTACAAGATGGTGGGGGACGATCCGTGCGGACCACAGCCTGGACAGTTTCTCTTCGAGTTGGCAAAACTGCATGACAGGTGGGGATATTATGCAGTCCTTTGCAACGAGTCTCGGACAAATGTCACCATCTTTCAGAAGGCCGCTGCTGAGCTGTGCTGAGCTGTTGTGTTTGGAAACTGGGAGTCGTGCTGCCTTTTTCAATACTAGGCGGGCATAGCATTGGCCACAAAGTGTGTTCAGGTCACATGGGCCAGCCCAGCAGTCACAGTCATAAACCGAAACAGAGTTGTTCACTTCTTGCCGAGCGTACATGCGCAGGAGGTTATCATGGCAACGAAGCTTCGACTTGCCGATAGGAACGGGTATCCCGCAATCTTCGGCGTTGGTTGACTCAAAGCAGCTGATCAGAGGATCCTCGGACCTCCGATGATCTTTCTGCTGAGGTTATAAGTTGTAAAGCACCTGGTGCAATTCTGTGCAGTTTGTTCGTGGTAGCAGTACTGGAAATCGAAGGCTCGACCAGAAGTATGCAGCCGAGCTGACTGTCTGGAATTGTGATACAGCAAACACTTGAGCATCCAAACGAGTTTGAGGGACCTTACTTGCCTTACTTAAGGTAGACTCGGGTACTTGACCAGGAAGGTCGCTACCAAGATTGGCTAAATGTGCTTGAATCAGCTGACGAACGCTGCAGGCTCGTTTTGGGATCGGCGACATTTACTTTCTTTCGAGGCAGGCAGGTCCATACCATGGTTCTCTAGTCGCTTTGAGATCGGTCACCTGCTGCGGTGAGGTATTACGGCAAGACCGAGGTGGTTCAAGGAACCATCAAAAGGCTCGGTGAGAAGTCGCTTCATTTGGAGGATGGCACCAAGTTGGAGGATGTTCAGGCAGGATGCATGCCCCAAATGCTGGAGACGGTCATTAGATTCACGAGTCCTTGACCATGACAAGAATCAAAAACCACAGGCAAAGCAGTCACCACGCATCAGAACTATCTTGCTCATCACCATTCACGTCCATCAAACAATGTCTGTAGTATGTAATGTCGTGCGCTTCCTCGCAAGACCGGTGTATATGCACGTCTACAGTGTCGTTCTTTAAAGGCAAACGTCAGGTTTTTCCAAGTCCCTGCCCGGCAACAGAACAACCGCAAAGACAATGAAGATAACCATGGCGTGGGGGAATGCAGCTCTTTGTCTTCTTCGTGGTGCTGGTCCATGACCATGCTGCTAGTCTACGGTACATTGTTGAGCAATTTGGACATCTTTTTCTGCGGAGGCTGTTCTCAAGCTCTTCGGATTCGTGCCGGAATGGGCTGTGGACAAGTTCCTCCAGCTGAAGCACCTCTCTGGAATTTGGGCATTTGGCCCAGGATGACAGGGCGCCCAAGTGTAGTCCGTCACAAATCCGCTGAGCATGTCTGATAGCATCGGTTGGCATCGCCTTGACGTTGACGACACATGCGATGACAGCTGACAGTTGCACGATGACTCTGGTGTAGATGGTTGTATGCAAACGACAACGAAAATGATCCAGCCGCATGAAGAGATGGCGGTGAAACCACGATTGTCGCCACCACCGCTTCCACCACCATCACCAGCACAACCAGCATTAATTAAGCAAGATGCAAAAGCCACAACTCAGAGCCACCAACAACAAGATGCAGACAAAGAAAGCAGCACCAGAACCAGCACCAGCCCGCGGCGCATGAACCCTTAAGTCTTTAGTAAGCCCTTCTCTCTCACGGTCTCTGCTTAGGCCAGTCAGGCTATGCAAGGCTCTCTGCCGGCTTGCGCCGGTTTCCAGCCTGTCCTCTCAAGGTTTCGCTGCCCATGACTCATGACCCTTCGCTCCGCTGTTACCAATAGGTCAACTGCGGCCAAATTTCTTCGCAGCGCAGCCCAGTACAGCTTTGCGTACTCAAGTGCTGCCTGTGCTGCTGTGGAGTTTCAGTCGCTTTTGTCAATGAGCTCGGGATTTGGAGTCCGATAAAATCTGAAGACCCCGGGGCAGACATGAGCTACCTGGGATTTCGATGGCGCCAGCACCAGCAGCACCCGCAACAGTGACAGAACAGCAACCGCAGCGGCAGCGGCGGCGGCAGCGGCAGGCGCAACCGTAAGCGGAAACAACACTATCTCTTGTTCAACTGCTTATTACTGGTTTTAGTGATGCTGAGATAGCAGGCTCTGTTACATGTGAAAACTACAACGGCAGCAAAGAAAAACAACTACCACAACTGCAACAGCAAAGGAGCGACAACCGTGGCAGCAGCGCTGCCAAGCGCAAAGCTTGGCATGTCTGTTTTGAGTGGGTTCTCAGGTCAACGACGATTACCGGATTGGCACAATGTCGGAGTTCCCGACAGTAAATGCACAAAGATTTGGTGGAACATCTCTGTCTCCTGGGGCTGTGGGATGGTGCAATATCTTCTATCATTTCTGGTGCCCGGATCGCAGCCAAGAAATTTCCAGCTTGTCGTGATCCATTGAAGTTGCGAATAGCGACGCCAGCTGCTAGACTAGACCAAGGAAGTATCCACAGGATTTCGACAAGATGATTGCTACCGGCATGCTGCCGAAGCACTTCCCAAATCTTCAGAAAGATGAGCCAGGCTGCCCGATGCGTTTTTTGGGTTGAGTTCCATTCTGATGAGGACGTCTTTCAAGCACCTTGTGTGCAGGCTACGTCCTCGATGCAAAGATCGGATCCCAAACTCTGATTGCCATCAGCAGCCTGTGTCCCGAGCTCGCAGAAGTGACTGCGAAATATGATGACAGCTTCAAGCGCAAGAAGCAGCCAAAGTCTCAGTGTTTAGCCTCGGATCCGAATTCCTTTGCTGATGTAGTTTTCATCTCTGCCACTGGCACTATAAGGTGGGGGACGCACTCTCTGGAACAAATCCAAGCGTTGGCAGAAGAAGACTGGTTGCGGTATTGCCAGATGTTCAAAGAAGCGGGCGATTCAAGGTCCGGCCGGCTGTTGTGTGCGAAGACCGAGATGGGACCCTTCAGGCCGTTTCCACCATACCCATACTCGAAAGAACGAGTTCAAAAGATGGCGACTTGGCAGAGATTTCGGTGTGCAGCTCGTGGTCTTGGTTAAACCTTGAGGTCGAAAGGCAAGACCGGGAGGAGTACGAGCGCTTTGTGAAAAAGGGCAGCAGCCCTGGCTATGATTTCAGCGGCGAGTAGCACGTAAGGGTGTCATCTGCTATGCTGCCTTCAGGCTGGATTCAGTAGAGCGCAGCAGCACCAGCTTGGGAGTGGTGATCGTCGACGACTGTCCGCCGAGTGCCACTGCTTCTGGACATGAACGGAAGTCAGGGACAATCGCTGTTCAGCACACTGGCCATCGTAGAGCCTGATGTAGCCTCTGCTGCGCTGTGTTCGGTGCAGCCTACAAAGCGCTGCGACGTCGACGTGGCAATGCTGCATCCAGCAAGCTCTCGTGTTTCACTTGCCGAATGCAGGGCGCCTCTTTCACTCCTGCTTGTTCGAAGACAGAGAAGCCATCTCTCCATCAACGTGTCCAGCTGACCTGGCTCTTTGTGGAGCTGTTGCTTTTGTGTGCCAGCTTCCCCCGAAAACTAAGCAACAATGTAATCTAAGAGTTCTCTGACAGCGATACTTCGGCAGGCTTTCAGCTTGACGGGCTGTAATTGCGTCTCAATCCTGCCAGCTTCTATTCTAACAGCTAGTATATCCTATAACTAGCAGGTTTCCCTAGTTTCACATGCCTCAAGTAACCCCCCAAAAGGTAAATATCGTCATGGTATGTGCTTCCGTGGAGATGCAGGCTAGGCTCGGTGGCCCGATACAAAGCAGGATTGTTGGTCAGGCGTGTTTCGTCACTCTTGACAACGTACCAGATGCAGGATGTTGATTCCACACGGCAGTAAGAAGGAGGTCTGACATGTCATCGTGGTCGGATGTGTTCGTACCAAGAACAGGCTCTATCGTCTTGCAAAGACACTCCGACTTTGCAAAGGGAATCAGCAAGACAGCCAAGAAGTCGGAAGTACAGCATGTGATCAATGCTAGCCCCTGTAATGTGAAGAAGGCTTCATTGTTGAGCGCGGAATTGCTTAAATTGTGCGATAAGAGTCTCCAGCGAGCACCAACCGTCAAGCTTGGTCGTGCCGCCGGGAAGGCAGGGCTGTTGGGCTTCTTGCGAGTTTGCGATAGAAGTTGTGATAGACCGAAAATCCCCTCTCAATGCAGGCTGCGAGATGTAACAGCTAGTCGGCGGTCGACTAGCAGAAGGCAGCTGAGAGGGCTCCGAATTGTTGCAACGGCAGCAAATTGCGCTGCAGGCCACTCGATGGCATGGCCTGCGCCAGTACGAGGTACAGGCACTCGATGCACATCGTGATTTGTAAGGTACCCGGCCTGGTTTGTAACGTTCCAGAGTCCTGGCCCTCAGTTCGGCCTCTTCACTCTGGCTCTGCTTCTCTTTGCTCTATTTATGCAAGTCTTCCAGGGGTGCATAGTTGAGCTTTCCCACGAAGGTTGTGCACCCGAGCAGAGTGTTCGTAGCATCCCTGCAGGCAGGGATGGAATTCGACGAGTCGTTTCCACTGGTATCTCGGCTAGCAAACGACTTGCTTCTCGATCTTCACAGACTGATGCTTGCAGGATGCACCTGGAATCTGTCGCCCTCCGAGACCCTTGGCCTGCGACCTTGCAACAGACCTGAGTCGGCCAAAGCGAATTCGCTTTCATGTGTGTCCGTGCATTCAGAAAACTCTCTTCAAGGCCATCACCACGACTGCTCCGGAGCCTTCGGATGTGCAGCGCTCAGCTGATGCCACTGCTCCGGCATGCTCCTGAATAACGCTGGTAGCTGGCAGTTCAAGGACTTGACGGTACAGCTTGCAGCAGATGCTCGTTCTCTTCTGGCTGCCCTGCGTGCAGATCAACAGGCTCGCAGCTAGTTCTTCCCGATACGAGCACTCTTGCTGGCCGTCCTAAGGCTCGGAGGCAACAATGCAAGCAGGTCGGGACCACAGAACCCACAAGCTCGTGACGTGCACCGCTCTGAAGGTTTCACTGGGTTTGGGAGCGCTTCTGGCGGAAGCCGAGGAGTGCATAAAGATGCGACAGTGCCACCTGTGCCCCCTGCGTGTGCCTTCTCGTCGAAGCGACAGGAGGCGAAGAGAACTCAAGGCCTACGACGCCTACGACGAACGTGTGAGCTTGTTAAGGAGCAGAGATTCGACGGCTTCGGAAAAGCTACTGTTTCTGCTAGGCACGTTCGGAGCCAGCAGTTGCAGGAGCTGCAGCTTGATGCTTCAGGACATCGAAAGGACAAGCCCACACAAATGGGTTTGTTGAGTTCTTCTCGACAGGAAGTGGCGGATCTGCAGACCAGGTACGCGACTGCTGAGGCAAGCCCTGACTGTTGAAAGGGATGAGCACGACATAGCATGACTCATGACCTTATTTCGTCCGCCATGAACTGTCATGAAGTTTTCCCAGGCCGAACTACATGCCGAGTCGCTTGAGGCATCGACATCTCGATTTGCTGGCGTTGAGTATGCATGACCTCTTTCAGGCCGATGAACTTCCCCATGGAACCTGCCCGAAACATGCTATGGAGTCAAGCAAGTAGGTGGCGATGCAAAGGCTCGGTGACGGGTGCTGCTCCTCATTCCTTTGTGCAAATTCCACCCCGCGGCAAGAGCTGCGGCTACAAGCGTCCTCGAGTCAACCTCGCGCATTCCGATGCCACAAGTATCGCCTCGGACAGGCGCTAGTCGTCTTAGCCCTACGTCGCTTCGGGCCATGTAAATCCAAGGAAATGCTACGGAGCCTTAACATGCTTTGACGTTTGGAATCCTTTGGACGGTCGCAACTGGGCTGGGCAGATGGTGGTTGGCGTAGCCCGAGCTACAGGCCCGAAGCTCCACGACTCGACGTTGAAGTGCAATTCGAGCACTCAAGCACATGCGCTTCGCACTTCCAGGGGTTTTTGAGCTGTACTTGTACAGGGTTTAAGGTATTTAAGGGACTTTAAGGGTTTCTGGCATTTGTGGGTTCAGGATGGTTCAGTTTTTGGGTTTAGTGCATTAGGTATCTTTGGGATCGGGCTCTTAGGTTCTAAATTCGGGTTGTCCAGAGCACGAAGTGCTCGTTGCGCGAATCCGCGGTACATGCGCAAATCCGGATCACGGCCTCCATGCATGCATCAGCCGCTGCACGAAGCCGCTCGGAGCGCGATAATTTCGCGAATTGGTGCTAACCCGGAACCCAGCGGAATGGGCGACACCATGCGACAAGTAAGCCGGCAGGCAAAGACCGGCAGTCGAAGTAGAGCGAACACTTCTTCACCCAAATCCGGAAGTTGCTAGAACTACCCGGCAGGCGACATTCGAAACCAGTGGCATGAAGGGAGGCAAGGGGAGTGAAGTGTAGAAAACACAGGCATTGGCGAACCCACTCGGTTCCAAACCAAGATAGACAGCCCGTATGATCGACGGTGCTTAGGTCTCAACCACTTCCTGCTCTCGCTAGGCACAGCAATCCTGCCATGTGACTGCAGTATACTATACAGAGTTTGCAAAGATCTGCAAAGTATGATGTTGGTATGAACTGTCTTGCTTCACATCAGGAATTTAGAGATGTCGACGTTGCTCGCTCTTGCAGGGGAGACTGCCCGGTCAACGAGGGGTTGTATGCGTTTGCGCGATGTGGCGGTGGTAAGAGTCGCGAGTGTCTTTCAGGAGGCGCTTCGAAGGGGAACGAGCTCCGGAGATTCACGGCCGTGAACTCCCCCACGAAACCCGCAACGGTTCGTCAGTTTCCCCAAACTTGCATTAATCACCCCTTCGAAGTCTGCATGTGTGCATGTCAGATGCACGAAGTGTTTGAGTACACTTTTTGATTGTTACCATGACAAGCTGTGCTTTGTTTGCCCATGTCGGAGGCTACAATTCAGGAGCCTTTAACGTGCCTTCGGAAATATCAAAGACATTGTTGCAAGCTCACGGTAGGCTCAAAGAGCCGTGACAGGTGAGAACTGATGGCAGCGTGGAAGAGTTCGCCAGGGCATGCGCAGAGGCCAGGTGGGTCGTTTCTAGCCCACTCTCGTGAGCCCATATGAACCCCCGGGAACCCGCGGCCTATGTGTGGCTGAAGCACCCCTGATCCTGAGCTGGGGCAGTGTACCCTGATCCCTGAACCTTTGCTTCAAACAGCGTGCGCATTTCCCACCCTTCCCCTCTCTCCATAAGGCAATACTTTTGGGTGTGTCGCTGATGCTCTAGATGTCCCGGCTGCAAGCGTGCTGTTCTGACGTGCTCCAGGTGTTTACAATATCGTGGTGGGGATAGAGCATGGCATGGCATTTCTTGAATTTCACTGTCGCAGTGCTCAGCTTCTGGACGTTGTGTTTGACAGTTTTATGAGCCTTACCATGTCGATACCCATTGAGTGTTGCAGTGAGTTATTCGGACTGTCTGCTCAGCTTCTGTGGTGTTGGAGAGTGTCATGTGCCTCGCAACCTCTCTGACTGCTCAGCTTGTGGGGGTTGTTGTCGAGAGTTTCATTAGATAGTGATACTTTGGACTGGCCCAACGCTCAGCTTCTGGACGCATGCTTAAACGCTCACACGCGTCCATAGTGCATACCAGCAGAGCACGGGTCTTCCTAGATCTTATCAGCAGACAAAAGAGCAAAAACTGGTTTGTTAAGTGTCATAGTGTACTAAACGGCTGTGAACTTCTTGTCCTCTCCACAAAAACATTAGATGTCCTTCAATTTGTATTGAAGCTGCCTACATCGTATCCTCAAAAAAGATACCAATCGCTCTGCCCATGGCTGTGGTTTAGAAGCTGTCATAATCCGCATGGCAAGATAAACGGAGTTCTCTTCGATCTTCAAGGAATAGAGGTGCCATCGTGTGTTTCTTCTGAAAAAGCAGGAGTTTTCGTTACTCTTGCTTGATGCGTCTGAGGAGCGCCCATCTTCGTCTGAATTTACTTCATGTTGAACACCGTAGGAGCTCTCCTGCATGACTGCTATCATGATAGGACAAAGGAGACTTCGTACGCTCCTTGCAATGAAGCAGGAGTTGTCATTTACCTATATTCCTCAAACAGTGCAAACAGCGTGGCAGCACAATGTCTTGCCTTCCAAGTAAAGAAAGTGTCAGTGTTGAATGATATGGCTGCGCGGCGCCTCGAAAGGGAGCTCCCCGCGTCTTTTTCCTTACAGCAGATGCTGCAAAGCAGGCCATGCGTCTTAACAGGATGCTCTCAGCGCGCGTCTCCAGCTGTGGTGCGGTGCATATCGCCAGCGCGACCTGCGAACAGGATTCCTTGATATGGACTGCTGCTTCCGTAAATCGTAATTTATGGTGTTTCTGTGGGTTTGGCAAGCTAGTGGGGGTAGCATGAGTCGGCTGTGCTTGGTGATCCTGGCGCTCTCGTGGTGGTTTCTTGTGGTCCCTTCGTTGTTGTCTGTTGTTCTTTGGTGTCGTGGTGGTGAATTGCTGGTATTTTGTCCTGGTGGTCTCCTGGTCCTTGTCGCAGTGCTTGACATGGGTGGTCGCATGGCGTAAATGCTGGAAAAGCACAGATGGCAACTAGTTGCGGCTTGTGCTTTTCCAAGTAAATCAGACACGTTCGCAAGCGACAGTGGTCGTGACTTCCTGCTCCTAATGGAATGCCTGTGGTATGGCCCTTCACTGTTTGGGATCTCCGCTGGCATAATTGATGCTGTCTCACAGCCTGGAAAGAAATATCGATCGCAATGTCCATGGCTGTTTCTTCAATATCTGGGCTCTCTTGAGTTTTCAAGGAATACAAACAAATGAACGCTCAAATGCCATTTTGGATAAACTCTTGACTGATAAGTTTAAGAAGGGGGCCATCGACATCAATTCTGCGTTATCTTGGAAGATGTAGGAGCTCTCAGCTCTCCTGCTGCCTGGTGTCGAGGGGATTCTTATGCACAGTTTTTACTCACAGGCGGCATATGAAGGAAAGAAAAGCTATTGGAGTTGGGATTCACTTATAAAAGCGCTCGCTTTTTCGGTTTTGTATCTATGATGGAAGGGAGCTCTCTGTGTCGTCTCAATACTGCGAACCAAACGGCAGAGCCACTGGCCAAAAGCACAATCGACGCAGCGGGGAAGAGACGTCTCACACACACACACACATACAATCGCAGGAGTGTTTTGGTGTCAAGAGGAATGTTGTTAGATAACATGGAGTACCACGCAACAAGCACGAGATTTTATTAACACATCAACAAGCTTGCCACACCTTCTCGCACTCGCGCTTTTCCAACACATAGACTGCGATGACTCTGGGAACGAAATCTGGCCCCAGATTACTAGACATGCCTACCCGAGACATATAGCAGCACGGTTTGTACGCACGGCACGATTGTGTCGGTATTTACGGTATTTTCGGCACGTCGGAGGCGTCGGAGGCGGGGGTGGATCCTGAGGGGGTGCAAACATACACACACACACAGATATATACATATATATATATATATGTATATATGTGGTAATAACCTGGTAATATATATATATATATACACACACATGGTTTATGTGTTTAGTTTTTTGTAATGCTGCATTTACTTAGTTGGTCGTGTTTCGTTATGTATTTATTCATGAATCTTGGTGCTCATGTATTTATGTAGTTAGTTGTTGTTTGGTACGCATGAGGCACATGATGGCACATGTACCGACACATGCGGAGTGATCCCGAGCAGCCCTGGGCCCATATGGGACCTTGGCCCTTGGGCCAACCTATCGGAATCGTGTTTCAAGAGGGCGGCCTCTTGGAAAGGAGAGTTCTCATGTTGTGGCAGGTGCTGCTGGGTGCTGGTGCTGCAGAGGAGCAGGCAGCAATGGAGGCAAGACAGGCCATCCGAAAGTGCAATGAAGATCACGGAGTGTCCGTGGCGTCCTCGTATCTGTTAGCAGGCACTGGAGGTGGTTCAGCACTACCAGGCCAAGGTCCGCACCCTCTTGCATTCGGACCCACTGTCCCAACAGATCAACAGTCGGACGGAGGGTGTTGCCGTGCCAGAGCCGATGTGGCTGATGGGATACTTCATTTGAGCCTTATGTTGAGCTCTGCGCGATTGTCATGTCGTTTTGAATGTGTTCAGGTATGGTATGGAGCCTGACTTAGTGTTGACAAAGGCTTGGACTTGTCTCTGTTTAAGCTGTTGTCCTGCTTGTACCAGGCTAAATTCGACAGCTGCAGCGTGAAGGGCAGGGTTAAACCTCTGAGATGGTTCTGTAGGTGTGAAGATCAAATCATGATGCCAGATATGCCAGCATGTACCCAAACAGTGAAGAAGTTTGAGTGGGACTGTGGGAAGAGTGCGAATGTAGACGAACATGTGCACCTCGCCCGGCAGCAGCGCTGCTCACGAACACAGCGATTGGCCCTAAACTCCTACGCGTAATAACCGAACCCCATAACTTTGGCCCATAACCATAGCACCAACAGGCTGCTTCTTGAGCCTACAAGGAATTCTTATAATAAGGAACATAGAACCCTTATCCAGACCGGTTCTCGGTCCTGCACCTAGTCTGCGCTTCTGGGTGTGGTCTTTGCCCGGCGCAGAAGACACTTGAAATAGCTTCTCCCACGCACAAACTTGCTTCCGCCTGCCTCAATGCTCCCTGATCGAGAAGCCCGAGGTGCCAAATCTGGAATCTCGTGAAGAACTGGCATCACGCCGATCGGAAATCGTGGAGGCAGGGAGCTGCACTGGCCACTGGCCTGCTGTGGCATGTTGCAGCATCCAGGCTCAGCAGGCACAGCTCCTCGCAGTCAGTGAAGAGAGGGCAGCACAGGCAAGCTGCCAAAAGGAAGGCATGGAAAGCGTGCAAGTGCTCGAACCTTTCTGCCAGTGGCTGAGGCCTTCCGTGCTGCTTGTGCCGAAGAAGAGTTGACGAGGTTTCTGGATCTGTAATGGATGTGAGGATGCTTTTGCTTGTCAAGGATGCGGGAGTGGAGCTTGGCATATGAAGCCACAGCGAAGGCTCGCTGGAGTTCGGAGTTATTGAGAAACTCAGAAACCTCATCAACGTGCCGAGCGCATTGCGGAAGGCAGAAGCTCTCACAGCGCAGCGCCGGTGTCTCAAACACGATGTTTGGCATTGTGTTTGGGACTGGGAAACCCAAGTCGCTCGTATCAGCTGAGCATCAGGTTGCCGATCTGAGATGGCAACAGCCATGCAGGAGAAGAGTCGCGTGGCCGGTTGCTTTTGTAGGGCATTGAGCCCTCGTCCACCCATGACCACTCACCCTTCCAGGAGCTGCAGCGCTTCCACCGCATGCGCCAGCTGCAGCAGAGTCTGAGCCTCCCTCAGGCCATGAAGATTTGCAAGGGAAAGGGGGGATTCAGCAGGGACTCGTGGTGTTTGACGGCCTACTTTTCCAAACACTGTTCCGAAAGGTTACTGAGTACTATGGCTTAAAAGTCAAGTTCGGTTGCCTGACGCACACACTCCAGACAGGCTCGAGGATGGGTGAAAGGGTGCCTGCTTCCGCGGCTCATAGTTCGCCTCTGCAAACGAAGGAATACGAAGGAGCTCATAGAGTCTGCGGTTTCAACATGCCTAGGTTGCCAGGACAGACTTGCCATTGACCTGAGATACCTGAGTCACCTGGGACCTAGATCCCCGGAGGGTTGGGTGCAGATGGCAGCACGACTGGAACACTGGATCCTTTCAATTTTGTCGCAGACGAGTCGAGGTTGCTTCGAGAGACGTGCTGAGTTCAATCGAAGCGCCGAGATGTAAGCATAGCACACGCAGTGTGAGGAACAGGCACAGGGCGATCCAATGCACAGCTGGCTCCATCCACTTTTGCCTCTCGCCTGCGTTGGCCTCTTCCAGTGACACCGCCTCTTGGGGGTGCCCGCCACTATCCGCCATTTCTGTGTGGCGGCGGCTGGGCTGAGCGAAGACAGGGGAAGCGGCGCCAGTGTCTTCGACTGAGACACCTACTCCCATCACGGAAGTCGAGCCTGCCTCTATGTACGTGCGAGGTTCTTTCTGTACCCATGCTTTTGGGGCTCGACTGAAACCTCCGCCACCCTTGTAGTGTAATGTAACATGCAGAGAAGCAATATTTGCTTCAAGGTTAGTTATATGCGTGTTTATATTATACACATGTACAACATCTGCCGCTCCATATCATCTACATCACACAGCGCATACTCGGACATACCAGGCGCATGCCGTGCTCATGTCCGTGCAAGCTCGGCGAGCTCGGCACGCGCAGACGGCGCTACCAACAGCATGCCGGGCGCTGACGTGCTGCACTATACCCGAACATTCCGGGCATACATGGACATACCCAGTGCTACGGGGGCACTCCACCTTGCCCATTCCGCAGTCTTTCCCGTCACAGTGCTACGTCCTCCGCATTCTCAAAAGAACGGGAGTAACGAGTGGCCGGCTGTCTTTAACTTGACTACAGAGTTCGGTTCTTTGACCCCTCGACACCATTGATCCCTTCCTGTTTGCAAGCGCATTTCCGAACGATACGGCTATGAATGATATTTTCTAGAAGCTCTATTCGACCACGCCGAGAACAGGTGTTGTCCCTAAAGGGCTCTGAAGGCAAAACTGTGAACCCTCCAACACGCTCAACATACCTGGGGTGAAGGCTGGAACGCGAAGGCAAGTGGGGCTGAAAGTTACTGCAAGAAACTGCCGTTGTTCACAGGCACAGCCGTCGCAACTTCGACTTGAGCCTGAGCCCCGGCGCGACTCAAGCTCTCTGTAGGGCTTCCTGTTCTGAGTCTTGGTCGTGTCACGGCACTGTGGCCTGCATAGAGCACGTGGCTTTAGCGGGTTCGTGGACCTGCAAGCCAGCGTGCCTCATGACATCTTCACCCGCTCGCTTGACAAAAATCGTTTTGTTTAGGTCAATTCCGGAATGTGGGAACTCGACAGGGTCGGCAGCTCATCATGGAGCCTTGAGCATCGTGGCCATGCGGAGATCATCGGAGATCCAGTTCAGCCGTAGATTGCTACAGCCCGAAATGACATCGCCTCAGGTCTTGGGGAGAGGAGGCTCGTCCGACGATGTCCAACGGCAATTCAGGGCATGCCCGGGACCCTTACCCTTCTTGCACCGACAGGAATGTGAAATTGACGACCAAGATGCTGAAGGCGGCAGAGAGTCCGACACCGTGGAAATCATCCAACACTGATGAGCACTGTGCATCGCATTCTGCGCGGGTCTAAGGCTTGAGAACATGCCAGGCTCGCCCGTCAGTCATGCAAGCTTTTGACTTCACAGCCGGAGGTAATGTAGGCAGGTTTGACCGTCATGAGCCTACTCAGGAGAACAGTCCGCCTCTCTCGCATCCACCGAAGCCGATGAAAATGATCAGGAAGAGATGAAGGCCAGACGCAGGTTTCAGCAGCTATCATGCCCATGGGGAGCATTGCAGAGTGCCATTGAGGCCCTCATCCTGAAGTTGCAAGGGGAACTACTTGATGCAGAGGTACGGCGTTCAAGGAGTTCTTCCGACTGGAATCGCTCAGTAGGAGCTGCCCTTCCTCGCCCTTGTGCCCTGCTCACTCCTCCGCGTAATGCAACTCTGCCCAGTTGTAGCTTGCCGGAGCCAGGCATCTATTAAAGGTGCTTGGGTTTGGATCTTTGGCCTGCATGCCAAGCGAAGCAAACGCTCTTATTTGCACAGTAGGAGTCGTCGGAATGAACTGTGAATACAGGTTGACCGTGCCAGGGCCATGGCTCAGCGAGACGAGGCCACCGCAGTGAAGCGATCGCATATGGCGCCGTGTCAATCCGTGTCCACGACGGTTCAGGTCTCACTGACAGAATGTAGGAAAAAAAGCAGCACTCCCGGCAGTCGAGCCGAGCTCTGCAGGCGCAGGAAGCAGTTGCTGCTCTGCGAAAGGAGACGTTGTTTCAAGTTATTCATTCTGCACCATCCAGAGTCCAGCGCTTTACTTGAACTTGCGCTCATTTGAGCGGTGCACAACGCTGCTCCCTGCATCATGTGGATGTTGCCCTGCCTGCTTCTGTATTCTTCTTGCCCTTTCTAACTTTTACATGCATGCATGCATTACAAGCGTGCATCGGGGTTGACTTCGCTGTATCCGAGCTGCCCCTTGCTGTAGATCCTGAAACTTCACATCATGCACTATGTACGTCGCCGCTCTGGGGCATTCTCCTACAGACATCAGTCAATTCAATCACACGCGGTTGACCATGTCTTCTTTGGCCACCTCGGAACGTTGCGGGATGTGTTGGTGGGTGTGGAGGTAAATGTGTAAGTCAAACAAGCAACAGAGAAAGAAAAAAACACATTTAAAAAGTTGATGATCAATTAATTAACTACCTGACTAGTTGGTTGACTAACTGTAGGCAAGTACGTAAGTAAGTCAATGAGTAAGTAAGCGTTTGAGGCGTGGGTCGCGCTGTGCTCGGTAGCTGTGCATAAATTTCGTGCTTCTGAAGCGACACTCATCGGCTCCTTGGCAATTTTTTCGCAGGAGAACGAAGCCTTGGTTCTGGCAATGCAGCTGTTAGACTCTTAGACTCGTGTGAGCCCGTGCCCATGACCTCACGGCAGTTTGTACTTAGAAAGCTTTACTTTCCGTGGAATTTGCTGCGAGGCATTCCGCGTGCCCCGATCCGGAGGAAGTTGATGGGCTTGTTCATGTGTCAAATCCGGCAGCCCTTTAGCCAATTCTTGACATGGGCTCATGTCGCTTGCCGCAGACCCTGCTGTGCAGGCTGCAAGCCACTGTCGACATCAACCGGCGTGCCTTCCAGGCAATGCAGTGCACATGATGTTGGCAGGATGTCAGTCCTTGAGCAGTCTTGGTTGTTGCTTCTTTACGGTGTTGGATATGCTTGCCAGGGAGCTGCACCAGGAGTGCCAAACAACTTAGGCAGGGACAAAGTTCTTCGGCTGCAGAGACTGACGATGCACCGGCAAACGGCCATGTGCAACTCTGTAACCTGTCCTGTTTTGACAGTAAGCCTAGCAAACCGACAAAAATACTGTTTTGTGATGCTGTCCGTCCTCGTAGATCCTCGTAGAAGTAGTCGTCGTGGTATTAGTCGTAGAAGTCGTGGTGGTAATAGTATTAGAAGCAGTAGTAGTCGTCGTCGTAGTCGTAGAAGAAGTAGTGGAAGTAGTAGTAGTAGTAGTAGTAGTAGTAGCAGCAGCAGTAGTAGTAGTAGCAGCAGCAGCAGTACCAGTACCAGCACCAGCACCAGCACCAGCACCAGCACCAACAGCAGTAGCAGTAGCCGTAGCAGCAGCAGCAGCAGCAGTAGTCGTAGTGGTACTGGTAGTGGTAGTGGAAGTGGAAGTGGAAGTGGAAGTAGAAGCGGAAACGGAAACGGCAACAGAAGAAACGGAAGCAGTACTAGTAGTACTGTAGTACTATTAGCACATATTAGCACTGTAGTACTAGTAGAACTTAGTAGCACTGGTAGTAGTAGCAGTAGTAGAAGAAGTAGTAGTGGTAGTAGTAGTAGTAGTAGTAGTAGTAGTTGTTGTAGTAGTTGTAGTGGTGGTCGAGTGGTCGTGGTGGTGGCGGTGGTGGCGCTGGTAGTGGTAATTAGTCGTGGTACTAGTGGTCGTCGTCGTCGTCGTAGTAGTAGTAGTAGTAGTAGCAGCAGTAGCGGTAGTGGTAGCAGTAGGAGCAGAAGTAGTAGTTGCAGTAACAATAGCCGTAGCAGTAATAGTAATAGTAACAATAGTAGAGGTAGTATTATTATTATTAGTAGTAGTAGTAGCAGTAGCAGTGGCAGTAGCAGCAGTAGTAGTAGACATCGTCGTCGTAGTAGCACAGGTAGTAGTAGTAGTAGTAGTAGTAGTAGTAGTAGTAGTAGTAGCAGTAGCGGTAGTGGTAGCAGTAGGAGCAGAAGTAGTAGTTGCAGTAACAATAGCCGTAGCAGTAATAGTAATAGTAACAATAGTAGAGGTGGTGGTAGTAGTAGTAGTAGCAGCAGCAGGAGTAGTAGTAGTAGTAGTAGTAGTAGTAGTAGTAGTATTAGTAGGAACAAGAGCAGAAGCAGTTGCAGCAGAAGTAGCAGTAGCAGCAGCAGTAGCAGCAGCAGCAGCAGTAGTAGTATATACTCAGCACCACGACGTCAACATAATAATGTAACAATGTAATACACTAAGCAGTACATTCGACAGATTGCAAGGGTTCGTGGAACCGCATACTGATAATGGTCCAGTCTCACACGTCGGGTTTAGGGTTTGGGGTTAACGACTTATTTGTGCTTTCCACAGAGCAGGGTGCTTGTGGCAGCTGTTCTCCAAAGGCTGTTTCCAGTCTCACAAAAACATAAAGCATTCCGAGTGGAGCATGGTGCATGCGTGAAGGCAAGCCCTCGGCCGGCAAGGCGCCAGTCTAGGGTCAAAGAAGTAGATGTAACGGCTTCTTGAATTACCTGAAATACCTAGTCATTTGCCGGTCACTTCAAGTCAAGCTTTCAATGTGTTGCGCTCATGCTGATGGCCTCCACCATCGGCCCCATAAGAATCCCCAGCCAAGCTGCATACCGCAGGAGCTCATCCTTCACGAAGGTCATCTCCTCTGAAGCAGGAGATGCTGGAAGCTGGACGGCCGCACTGGCTCTGGTTTCTCTTTGGCTTGCGTCGAAGCATGCGACAAGAATCTGGTATATGACAACTTGCAGTAGCCTTTTATTTGCGCGAACAGATTCGACAGCTCACACGCACCATGCTTTAGGCGGAGTCGCTCAAAAGAAGGGGTCGGGTCAGTAAAAGTAGCACGTATCCTACTGCTTAGGATCGAGACTCGGGTTCTGATATGGTTCAGTAATCATCCGCCCATAGCCCATGGCAACTAAGGCTGAAATGACATTTGCTGTAATAGTCTTCGTCCTCCCGGTCGTGGTCGCGGTAGTGGACTGGGTGGTAGTGGTGGCGGTGGTGGTGGAGTGTAGTAGAAATCGTCATCGTAGTAGTAGTCGTCGTCGTAGTCGTGGCGGTGGTGTAGCAAAAGTTGCTGTCGTCGTAGTACTAGTAGTACTTGAGGCAGTCGTCGTCGTAGTAGTGGTGGTAGTAGTAGTAGAGGTAGAGTGCTTGCACCATGGTCCGCAAAGGGGGGCAAAGTGATGCGTCACGTTGGTCATTTTGGTTGACCAAAACGACACGTCATTTTGCCCTTGCGAAACGACCAAAATTATCAACACCACCAAAATGAACAACATGACCGCTTGTAACAGCAGTTCTTGTACTAGTAGTAGTAGTCGTCGCCGTAGGAGCAGCAGCGGTAATAGTAGTAGTAGTCGTAGTAGTAGTAGTAGTAGTAGTAGTAGTAGTACTAGTAATAGTACTAGTACTAGTACTAGTACTAGTACTAGTACTAGTACTAGTACTAGTACTAGTACTAGTACTAGTA